CAGAACTAGAGTATACACACGTTTAAACCATCAACCATTCCTTACATTTTGTTTAGTTTGCTGATTTATGTCCCATCGAAACGTCTAACATCACTCGACAGAAAAGCTGCCAATTGATGGCTTCTGCAGCGTCGCTACAAATCGCTCAAGAGACGTCTGACGAAGAGCAGAAGGTAAAAAAACTCACCAATGGAAATGAATCTGGCTGTCGTATCGCGAAAGATAGATAATTAATATAGATAATTAGTAGTTGCGCGCGCGAGGAAATGAGATCTTCTAAGTGATTGTTGCAGACTTATTAAGGACAGATATACCTAATATCGTTCAAGACTTCAAAAACTGCATTATATATCATTGCGTCAATTTCGACAATCGTTGTTGAAAAAGAAACACAAATATCCGTCATCGTACATGACAAACACAGCTAGCATTATAACCACTATTTTATATCCATGTTTTCAGCGAAATGCCTTAAAACAAGCATTGAGTCACGTTCAAAGCTGTCGAGATCTTTGTCGACGTCTCAGTGCAGGAAAGCAAACAGGAGGCAAAGGTAGAACTGATTAATATACTATGCTTTTTCTTAAATTCTCAGTATTAGTTTGCAGTTGTTTTTTAATAGACAACTTTTCCTTTTAAGCTCCATCACAATGACTGCATTGGATTCATGATTATGAATTTTTCCATTTTGAAACCTTGTTTTGGTTTTTTCATTTTGAAACCTTGTTTTGGTTTTTTCAATTTGAAACCTTGTTTTGGTTAATGTAGAGTGTTCTTTACCCGTTTGTTTTGGATGCATATATTTCTTGGCTGATTTTCCTTGTTTTTTTTTTTGTTTCTTCTGCTTGTCAATTGTTCTCTTTCTGTTTTATTTCCTCTCTGTTCGAGACTAGCTTCCCGACTGATCCACTTATAGCTGATATTGTGCGATATTTTTTTATTCAGATGATATAGCTGATATTGTGCGATATTTTTTTGTTCAGATGATATAGCTGTTTTACTCGTGTTATACGAGTTTGAGGCCAAAGTAAAGCTTGGTGAAAGCAATGCAAGTTTGGAGTCCTGTCTTCAGAAAGCCATGGCCCTGCCGCAATGCGAAGCTCAAACATTTGAAACACTAGCAGGTTGGCAATAATAACAATATACTTATTCTTAGATTGACTACTAAATAAACGGAATTGAAAAATGGAGGAGCATTCTGTTCGGAAAAATTGTTATCTTTAGATTTGGTATGCTGGCTCAGATCTAGAAAGTTTAAAAATCTTGATAATGACCGTTAATTTTTTTTCCGGCCCACAATTTTTTCGCCTTGAAACTTATTATCTGACAGTATTGGTTTTGSTGTCAGCTTAGTTCACTAGTGGTTTAAAGTTGGGTTAGCGTCTTTATGTGCAATTATGATCAAGTGAACTGGCTATATTTCTTTAAAAAATCTTACAATTACAGCGTTAGCCGTTGAGCACCCTGCATATAACAAAGATATCTGTATGAAGTCTTTACGTATTGCTGTCAAAAARCACAAGACCAGTGGACACACTGATTGTACTAAATTAAGGTATGAAGCAACTGGATAAGCTGAATTTTTAATCAAAGCAATAACCCAAAATTCAT